ATTATTATTATTATTATTTAATTTAGTTATTAATTACTTAGTGTGTGTGTGTGTGTGTGTGTGTGTGTGTGTGTGTGTGTGTGTGTGTTTGTTTTGAGATTTTTTCCCCCTGTCCAATATTTGGATTTTTGGGAGGTAAAAATGTTAATGTTTTGCCACACTATTTCATCTTCATGAGTGTTGCGTACTAGTCCTTCCAGGAAGCTGTTAACTCTCAACAAAAGCAGCATAATAAAATTGCCACTGACCTAAAAGAATGTCAAATGGGAGAATTTCGCCCCCTTAATTTTTTGGCTACTACAATGTATAAAAATATATATATAAATAAAACCATACAGCACTAATGATTCCATTGAAAGTCAGAAAAGCAAGTAAAATCTACTTCACTTCCCTCATCCCCCTTAGCCCCGTAATGCAATCTTTTCAAACCAGCAGGTAACCTGATTAACAATGAGCATTATAACACATAAGGCAATCCACCTAAACACAGTGGGATGAGTTAAGAGCCCAGTGACAGTCTTAAATTGGTATGGGTCTGTTTTATGATGAAAACCTTACAGTCACGTCTTGAAACTGCAGGCGCATCGCAGACCCTGATGGCTGAGGTCTGCTTGTGATCTCTAATATGGTTCTCAACAGTATATCCAGCAGGCTGTTCACAATCACATCTATTTCTTCCAAGACGGATTTTTCCTAAGATAAAGAAAAATATTTTTTCAGATTGCTATTATTGAAAAAGAAACAGACACATGCAGAATTCCCCCTAGGACAGTGTTAGCACCTGGATTAGGTTAGTTGAGGTGAGAATTAGTTTTCATCCTGGCTGCTGCACTTTATAAACCTCAGTACTATTTTCTACCCAAGATAACAGAGTCATTCCATTTACTTGAATCCACTGTTATCAAATGAATGATGTTACTGATATATAGAAGACCGTTATAAAAACATGAGTCTAAGTACTCATCGTTAAACATAATCCTTTTTCAAGGTACAGTATAAAGGAAAGTAGTACATGATTTATGAAGGCTATTTGGCCAAGATTTTTACAGTCAACACTCATACATTTTAGCCATATAAACTGACAGCGGAGATTTAAAGTTTAAAGCATAGAGAATTCTGTTTTGAATACTTTATGTGATCAGCAAAGAAACTACTGCCAAAAACCAACAGATGGGTACTAAGTATAGCAACTTTTTAAGGCCAAATACCCCGGTAACCACCAGCTACTTTGCAGCACTCCAATGACAGAAAGCAAACATATATCTGGCCAGTTGTGCAAGTTTATAGCTGATTTGCATCATCAGAATAACGCAAAGGAGCCAAAATATAGACCATTGAACATGGCCATAAATGTTAACTAACAAGGAAGAACAAAGTTAGTGCAGTGTTAAAGATGCACAGTTACTACAAAAACTAGGAAATACATATTTTAATTTTGCTACGTTACACATATGTAGCAATCTCCCCATTTTAGTTTTCAAATTAAATTTTTATTATTTTTATGTTATTCATTTCATTTAATTAATGTACCTATTAATTTATTTTTATTTTATATAATCATTGATTACATTTTCACCCACTTGCCAAATGGTAGCAGATTTTGGGTCTTGCAGGTCAATTTCCTATTGGAGAAGAAATCAGCAACACAGAATCTGGGTATTTTCTTAGTGCAACTTGTTTTAGTTACCCTTTATACATCAGTCCTTGAACAGAGGTAATCACATATGAACATAAGCAATCCTATCTTCCAGTAATCTCTGCCCAAACAATCTGGTCCAAGAATTCCACCTCTCATTAGAGAGGTCAAGGAAGGGAACAAACTCTCCTGCTGTAAGGCAACAGCTCCCCTAAGAGAACCTGCATTACAAAATAAACCCTGCATTTCTTCAAAGACTGTATGCTGCTCGCATACGAAGAAAAAGAACTTGTAGGACCATGTGGAAACAGCACCATCTGGTGATCCCCGTCAAAACAATATATTAATGTTGACGGCCCCAATCCTTGAAGGTAATTCATGGGTGTGCATACTTGCACCTGCATGAATCCCTTTAAGGGATATGGGCCTGTCTTAAAATATGCACCATATTCCTAGGATTTGCAATTTAGTTAATATTTCTGTAAAACCCTGAACTTTTGCACTTCCTGAGTTTATTTTATTTTTACTCAACATTCTTAATGTCACATTAATTTAAATTTCAGTTAGTTTGGGAGGTTGATTTCTTTTATTGATTTTTACAAAAAGCAACTTATTGTGATAGTAAATATTAACATTTGAATGGTCCCAGTTATTCTTTGTGCACCTGTGCTACACTTGCCAGTTGCATTCCCTCAGGCAAGGACACAAATACAAGTTCAGAGAAATCGTGGGGTGGCTTCCCTCAAAACACTAACATATCATCTCTATCTTGTCTTGATTAGTCACAGACTGCTAGCCCACATCCAAGCCCTAACTTAGTATAAACACTGGGTTATTTGTTTCACTTCTCTGGCCTGGTCAAACATGGAGATATAGCATAATGAATGCAATGTGGTCTACTGTCTCACCACTCACCCTCTTAGTGCTATAAGTTGAGCACAGGGCCGGCTCTAGGTTTTTTGCCGTCCCAAGCAAAAAAATTTTTGGCTGCCTCCCACCCCAGCCCTGGGCTCTCACCCCCCCCCCCCACCAGTGCCCTCCCCCACCCGGACCCCCTGCCATCCCAGGCCTGGTCTCTCTCTCCCCCCCTACCCGCACCCAGTGCCGCCCCAGCCCTGGGCTCTCTCCTCCCCCACACCCACACCCCCTGCCGCCCCAGCCCTGGGCTCCCCCCCCACCAGTGCTGACTCCACCAGCTCCCCCCTTGCCTCCAGCCAGTCCGGCGCTGGCAGGGTCGGGGTAAGCAGTGGGGTTCTCAGGCCACGCCTCAGCCCAGGGTCCCTCCAGCCAGGGATCCCACCTCCAGGACTGGCTGGACCCAGGAGGGCAGACCTGGGGGACTGCCCCGGCAGGGGGCTGAGGAGCCGGGACAAGGTAGCCCCAGAGAGAGCGGAGCCCCGGAGAGCGGGATGCAGGCCCTGCACGGCAGCACCCCGCCCTCTATGGCCCCGCTGCTGCTTCTGGCTGCCCTGCTGCAGTCCCTGGGCAGCTCGGGCTCTTTTGCCCAGCCCCAGCTGCGGCACTGGGGGGCGGCCGCCCTGCGGTACCTGCAGGTGGCTCCCTGTGCCCCGTGGGGCGGCCCCCAGCACGAGTATCTCCTGCTCGGCCCAGCCACAAGGTACGGGCGCTGCTCCCCCACAGCGTGAACCGTAGCAGCCCCAGGGCGCCCTGCGCGCACCACGCACTGCTGCTGCCAGGGCCGGCTCTAGGCTTTTGCCGCACGAAGCAACAAAAAACAAACAAAAAAAAAGATGGCCGGAATGCCGCCCCTGAAAATGTGCCACCCCAAGCACGTGCTTGGTTTGCTGGTGCCTAGAGCCGGCCCTGGTTGAGCAAAAGGGGTGACAATACAGACTCCCTGCAAGTAAGAACCCCGAGGGAGAGAAACAATTGCCTACAACTATCCCTGGGCAATATCTCTAGTGGCCAAAAATGGAGCTATTTAAGAGCAATTCATCCATCCATACTAGGATTCACAAGCAAGTCAACAAAATCTCATGGTCAATGGTATCAAAAGCTGCTTATAGATCTAAGAGAGTCTGCAGTCACTACCTCTATCCATTGCTATGGTAAGAACACCAGTTAAGGCAGCTGCCTCACAAGAGCCACCAAGTTTTCTGTTACCTTTCCCCAAAATGGGAGATTGGATACTGGTTTATTACCAGAGTAAAGAGCTGGCTTCTTGAACATTGATCTCCCCATGATTTCTAGTGCCTCACCCTCTATACGGAAATGCTGACAACCTCAGCTAACTGTGGACCCAGTACTTCACCATTGCTCTCTTTTTTCTCACCATCCTGGAGAGACAAAATTGTAGCACAAAGCTGCACACCTGCACCTCTCTGAGCTCAATGAGTTGAAACTGAAGCTTTTTTCCCCCCCTCAACACACTGTTCTGTTTCCATGGCAGTAGACTGCTCTGTCCCTAGCTGAGCAATTTTATCTGCAAATTAACGTGACATTTCTTCACAGCAAGAAACACTTGACTCTGTAACCAAATAGAGACAGCCAGCATTCAGCAAACAGTCGAATCAACTCTTTTGCGTGGGACTTTGCAGATGCTATGATGGAAGTGAAGAAATTTGTCTTTGCCTCCCTCACAGCCAGAGCATATGTTCTTTAAAAGACTCAAAAAAAAATCCTCTATGTTGTTATTGTTTGGATTCAGCAGGAGTCTGGGGCCCTAGCTATTTTCTCTCTCTCTTCACCTGTAAATCCAGGTGACTTGTGAAGACAGAGCCAGCACACAGTTTGTTTAGGGGCTGCTGTAACAATAAGGTAGGACAAATGATTATTATGAACTCCTACCAAATTGTTGTCAGAGTGGGCAATGGAAGAATAACCTTATCCTTCAAAGCTGCCTGGAAATGGTTTCTGAAAGCAGACCATTAAAACATTTTCATCGCCCTATCAAGACAAGTATGTTCCAACTTCAGACCAAAAGACAGTGGTCAGTCTGTAGCTGAGGGGTAATATCCCTCCAATTTACACTTGTGACCCCAACACCAGAGTGTTTAGACTACAGTCCAATGTTTATCTTGGCAGCTGTGAAACTGTGAGCTGATCCAGAAAATTCATCGCAGATAACACACAGTGATTGAAATGTCTAGGTACTATCAGTCTCAGTGACTCAAGTGAGGAACATTATCAGCTCAGCCTCTGACTTAGAGAGGGACAACCTACATAACACCACCAACCATGTATGATGCCCATCTTTGGACTCTCTGGCCAGGAGGACACATTCAATGTGACATGGCTTCAGGATGCAAGATCTCTTGTATTTGAGGTCAGATGAAAAAAACATAGCTACCCACTAGCGTAGATCATGTATCACCTCATGCTGAACTATATACCTTTCCAGGGCAGCTGCAACAAAAATGTGTCAAAATAATAGCCCTATATCAAGTCATAGATGGTATTATCCAACAGCATGAAATGAAGATCCAGATCCAATGTCCTGCATTCCCGACAATTGTTATGTGAGACCAACCATGCTGGTCATGCATGGTTCACACTTACTACACCGATTAGTGTATGATGCTATTTTCTTCTTGCCTTGTCTCTCTCTACCACACGGATTGAGGGGACCTAACCTTCACAATCAGGATACTTCTCCATATCCCCAATATGCAGCACTGTCATTCAACAGAGAGTCCTGTGGCACCTTTAAGACTAACAGATGTATTGGAGCATAAGCTTTCGTGGGTGAATATCCACTTCGTCAGACGCATGTTTCATGGTATTCACCCACGCAACACTCATGAAAGCTTAGGACTCTCTGTTGTTTTTTACAGATCCAGACTAACACGGCTACCCCTCTGATACTTGTCATTCAACCTTCACGGCCAACCTAAGATGGCCTTCAGAGGGATGCAGCCATCACAGCTAGGTGCCCCAATAAGAACACTGAGACCCATCTGCAAAGTCCATCTTAACCAACAGCCCCACGAACAAATAGTCTCCAAATAAGTCAGATCAGCCCTCTCCAACAGTGCATAGATTAGCTCAGAGGACAGCCTCTTCACTTATCCTACATGAATAAGTGGTCTATTAATCCCAACACACTTCCAAACCACTGTGGGTCAACTTTCACATTGACGTCACAAAGATCCTGGCAGGACAGTTCTACTAGAGAGGTCTATCCAAAGGGCTGAGAGTCAGATCCTGGCTATTAGGACAGGCCATCACAACTGGTGGCTCAGCAGTCCCAGAAGAGCAACCCAAGAAAAATGATCAATCCTGTTAAACCCTTCCACAAATCTCTTCCTTACCCACTCCACTCAATGCCCGGGCTTTTAAACAGTCCTCTTTTCCTCCATCTATGAATTCGTTAAGAACATCATCTTTCTCACAGTCAGTACATCCCTTTCATATCCATGAACAGGTCACCCAACTCAATCCATTCATCCAATACACACACAAAAACTATCTTCAGAATGTCAACTTCCAAAAACCCACCAAAACAAGGTCAATAATAAGGGCCAGACCAGGCTACAGGTAAAGAAGCAGCCCTAGGTCCCTCAATTCCTGCTTGGCTGTAGTAAGTGTCCCTCTTAAAAGATCTCCCTAGTTTGTTTTTCTTAATGGAAAAAGGGCAGGGCAGGCTGAAAGTGAGGCAGCATTTCTGACTCCAAGCTTCCTCGGGTCCAGGTAGGCTGAAACAGGGAGGTGGCCTCTTTTAAAGCTCCTACAACCTTAAAACACGGGCCTGACAAGAAGATGCTATTTACAACAGAATTTATAACTTAAACCAGACAATCTTTCTCTGTTTCTCTTGAAAACAGATCTGAATTACTGTATGTTAGAACACTGGAACAGTGTCAAAGCTCAGTAGAACACAGAGTACTAGATTAAAAATACTCTTGCAATAGTCCAAAAAATTGATGAAAAATCCAACTGACACATTCAAGAAGGTTCCATTCGTAGAAAATGCTCTAAATGTCACTTTTTGTTCAAGGATCAGTTTATTTTATTACAAGGAGCCAAATAATGAAGTTAAAAAAAAGCTACTGTTCATAACCTGAATTTACTTACTGAGCTATTTTTCTTTATGAAACAAAATATGTTGCTAAGGATACGTGCACACATTGTAAGATCCTTCTGCTCTTGTAAATGCATGTGGAGGTGATGTAAAACTACTGGAAGAAGAATATATCTGGAATCTGCAAGGAGAGAGAAAGGGTATGAGTGGACTCCTTTCATGACATTTTTTCATTTTATATATATTTTAATAAAATATAATAATATATAATCTGTAAATGTATCTTATATCCATACAAATATTCCTGAACATCAGACCGTTTCAGCAGCTTCATACCATATCATAACAAAAACAAAAATTTCACGTACTACCTTTTGCTGAGTAAGAAGAAATCGCCTCTAGATATACACATTACTGTGTGTGAAATAAAACTACATATTTATACAACTTTCATGCAGAAAACGTTAGCATAATAATGTAGGTATACAAAATGGCATGGAAACTATTCTCTCTACCTCCCTGGTTTGTCACTGGCCTGTTTTGCAACTATATCACTTTCCAAATTCAGATCTAATTTACTGTCCACTACTACCCTCAGTTCTTTTTCACTATTACTGCTTTTCAGATTTCTCCCTCCTATTGAGACTGCGTAATACAGATTATTTGTCTCTACTGGAATTAACTTGCATTTTTCCTAGCTGAATCTCATTTTCTGCCCACAGTCCTTTTGTTGATTTTTCTTTTCTGACTTCTCCCAATTTAGTATCAGCTGTGAATTGCACTCATGTGCTGTTTACTTCCTTTTCTGATCATTAATAAAGATATTAAATGAGAGCAGTCCTAAGACTGATTTCTGTGGTGCCATACTAGACATCACCTCCCTTCCTGACAGATGGAACTTGTTATTATCCTTTGTTTTAAGTTACTCTAGACACATACTATATATATATATATACACACACACACATATATATTTGAGACACTGTTTTTATTTTAAATCTACTCTAGTATTAGTATTTCTATTAAGATATTTTAAAAGCATTATTAAAAACTAAACCCACTGCTGCCATTAATCCATTACATTTGTCATTATTTCACTAAAGGAAGCAAGTTTGTCTAGCCAGAACGTTTTTTATAAACTCATGTTGTCAATTGCTTATGATTCCATTAACCTCTGAATGATCAATGATTTTTCCCCCTTATTATTTAATCTACTTTTTAAAAGGGTATAGAAGTTTGATTTACAGGATAGTAGTCTCTACCAGGATTAAGTTTCTCTCCTACATTTAAAATTATTGCTGCTCTGTTTTTCCTCCAGTCTTCCCTCATTGTCATTGTGTCAGTAAGTTCATTTGCTAGTTACCCATATAACCTTAGACAAGTGTCATAACCTGTGGCTTTGAAAACCCATTTTCCAAATACTGTACTCCTTGACTGCTCTTTAACTATTTTACAGGATCTCCTATCCTTGCTAGTTATTCATGTGGAAGCAAAATTTAGCACCTCAGCTGTCTCTGAGCCATCTTTAATTTGACTCCCCTCCTTATTTATTAGTAGACTTCTTAACAAGTTTACTTTTGCAAAAGTGCCTTGGAAATCTAAAGTGCCATAAATGGCCAAGAGCTTTGTTTTACACCTCAAATAAAAGATGGCATGACCAAAAGCACAAAGCCATCTAATACTACGCTGACCTACTGGGACTGACTTAGGGAGGGAGGGGATAGTGCCACCTACTGAGTTACTCAGATCACTTCCTGTACCACCTAAAGGCCATGTTCCTTGAAAATGTCTAACTGAAAAACTGATCTGTCACAATTGCTTTAGGCTGTGAGATCTGATGGGATCACTGAACAGGATGAGATAACTATCATCTCCACCACTAAAACCTATTTGTGAAAGTTAGAGACAGCAATGTGTATGTTTTGCCTACAGGCTTTACTTTTTTCTCAACAACTGTCAGGTACAATGTCAGCCACTGTAGATAGTCAAATTATTGAATGCAGGTACAGCACAATATTTAGAAGCCTTAGCCATTGGTCACTCTGTCCTAATTCCCTTTACCTGCTCCAAAAACCAAATTAGCTGACTGTTTCAAATGCTAATACTCACTTTTAAAAATATTATACAGAAATTGGAAAAATAAAATTTTCATGACATCAGTCTTTCCAAATCCCTGGTTAAAAGACACTCAGGGCCTTTTCTCTCCAGTACTCCTGGGGGAATACTGTGCCACTGCGCACATGTACAATTCAGGTTCCCTGCAGTTTTTTTAATTCTCAGGTGAGAATACATTCTGCTAGGAGGCACTGCAGTTATATCTTTTACTCACCAGGGGCTGCTGTAGCGCCAGAAGAGATGGCAGCTGACTGAAGGCCGAGCAGCCAGCAGCGGAGAGGGAGGGGTCATAGGCTGTTTTCCTAGGGTTACCATACGTCCGGATTTTCCCGGACATGTCCGGCTTTTTGGTCCTCAAATCCCCGTCCGGGAGGAACTACCAAAAAGCCGAACATGTCCGGGAAAATACTCCCAGCTTTGTTTTGCCGGCATCCCTGCCCCAGTCCATTGTTTACCTTAGAGCGGCTCCGGCATGCTGCAAGCTGCAGGCGGATTCCCCTGCGGTGGCGGCGGCTGCTGCTGCTCCCCCCAGACGCTTCCCCAGCGCAGCCGGAGCCTGGGAGGGGAAGCGCCCGGCCGGGGGCACAGAGTCTGGAGGTCTGGGGGCTGCCCGGCAAACCGTGAAGCCGGTAGCGCTCGGGCAGCTCGGCTCTTCAGCTGCACAGAGCTGAGGTGTCTGAGGGGAGCAGCAGCAGCCGCCGCCACGGGGGAATCCACCTGCAGCTCCCCCGTGAAGCCGGTAGCGCTCGGACAGCTGTTTCACATGGCTGGGAGGGAGGAGGAGGAATGCGGGGTGCTCAGAGGAGGGGGTGGAGTTGGGGCGGGGCTGGGCCAGGGCCCCATGGAGTGTCCTCTTTTTTAATGTTTAAATATGGTAACCCTAGCTTTCCTCACAGTCCCCTGCCCACAAGGCCAGGTGAGGAGACATGGGATTGGGGGAGGGGGAATGGACAAAGTGGGGCACACAGGCTGCTGTGGGTCACATAGACTGGGGTTCAGAAGTGCTAGTGGAGGGACAGAGTGCGGTGGGGGGCACAGAAACTAGTGGGGTGACAGCATTGAGCCAGGGGCTGCATGAGAGTGGGCGTGCATATGGAGACAGGGGGAAGGAGGGTGCAGGGACACACAGGGATGGGGCAGATGTGCTAGACTGAATGGTAGAGGCTAGAACCAGAGTTTGCATAGGGAAGCTCCCCAACTTCCTAACAATTCCCCCCCCCCCCCCCCAAACAAAACCTGTTCCATACTTCTCCCATCCACACCTAGCAACCCTCCAGGTTCACTCCCAGGATCCTTCCCAGTGGTTACTTTCCTCGCCCTCTGCTTCTCCATTATCCCTGACTCCCCCAAGCCTTTTGCACTGCTTCTGAGAGGTGCAGGAAATACATTTCTGTATTGTAGTTTGAATGAATTATTACTCAAAGTTCTGTATTAATATGTCTAGTAAGGAATCTATTTGACAAAAAACAAATTTCCTGAATCTTTTTTGTTGTCTGTATTCTTATAGACATACTTGCTGACAGGTATTTTGAAATAAAATTACCCAAATAATTGAAACTGGCATGATTATATTGTGTTATTTTGACAAATAAAATATGCAGAATTTTAAAATATTGTGCACAGAATTTTTAGTTCATTGCTACGTTACTAATTACAACCTAGACCTTGTAGACTGAAAGAATTTTAAAAATTCAATTAACTTTTCTGTATGTATTCTGTTTGTATTTTATTTTTCCTTCTGCTTGAGCATGAAAATCAAGGAAGCCATTTGCTTTTTTTTTAAAGCAGTTTCATTTGCACACACTCAATTTTGCATTTATTAGGTTGAAAGCACTGCGTGGGGATGTTTAGTTGCACAAAAAGAAAAAATTCCCAGTGGAATTCTGAAAAACAGACAGACATTTCTTGTCTGTCTAAACAGAGAATTTCAATCTCCAGAGCTCTCAATTTGACACTTTTCATAAAGTATTATTTTCATTTTAAAAGTAGTACTAGATAGGGTGAAGAACAAGAAACACTGTTAGGGGGGAAAAGTGATTTTTTTTAATTGAAGGGGCATTAGTCAGATGGTTGCAAAAGTGTGTTTGATTGTCTGCCAGGTAAGTACTTAAGAGAGAGAAGATGGGTGAGGCAATATCTTTTATTGGACCAACTTCTGCTGATGAAAGAGGTTAGCTTTTGAGCTTACAGAGAGCTCTTTTTCAGGTACTTCCAAAGATACAGATATATTCAAATTTCATCACAAACTTCATGACTGAAAGATTTATCTCTGAATTTATATAGGTTTTCACCGAATGTAAAGATGTACACAATTAATGCTCTTTTGATGGGCAGTGTAACCTCAGATAAACCTATCCACAGTAGGATGGATTGAGGGAAAGATCAGTCCCCAAAAGAAAACACTTGGGTAATACATTTTCCATTCTGTACCTTGTCCTCCTCTAATTTCTTACTGTAATGATACAATGAGCATCGAAGAGAAATTGAATGTAGGGAAGCAAGAAAAGGAATCTATTTAGGCACCACCCTGTGGGGATCCTTGCTTCTCTCGATATTGGTGATGTGATGAGGAAGATGTGAGACAAGGAGCCTAACTCCAGGGTGTACCCCAACTTCAGGATCTCCAGTACCCATCTGTTTGATGTATAGTGGAGCCAAGGGTCTACAAAGTATGAGATTCCTCCTCCCAGGAGGATATCTGGTTGAATGAAGTACCCACTGTAGTCACGCTGAAAGTTTCAGTTGGGAAGAGGAGAAGTTACCGCCTCTATGAAGTTTCCCTCTGGGATTGCAATTCCATGATTTGCCTCTGGAATGGTGGAGTCTCTTCTCTCATACCTTTGCTGAGAGGGATGACAGGATGCTTGGTTCTGTGTGAGGACCTGTAGCACAGCTAGGTTTAATCTGGAGTGCATGGAGAATGTTTAGATACTTACTACAGCCAAGCAGGAATTGAGGGACCAGGATGTAAATGGTTTACTATTTTCCAGATCAACATACCTTAAATACGTCAGCACAATTTTTATTTTCCCCTATGGAGACTTAGAGAGGGCTCCCCTCTAGGCCTGGGCTGATGAAAGGTCTGTGTGCATTTATTTTTAGGAATGGAACATTATAGGACTGAAAGGGGTGAAGACGATGAGCTCCAGGAAATCCTTCCCCTAATTGGTGACCGGAATTACATTGTACAATATATTTCCAAGACGTGTCTCTGTTCCCTTATCATTTATACTAGTTGTTCATATTACTGATTTTGGTAATAATTTCTTTCATATCCATTATGCTTAGGACAGAAATTTTCTCTAAATTCCTTTGGTACTCTGCCCTTTCTTCACATTAATACCACATTGTCATTGTTGTTGTCTGGACTAAAGTTTGCGGATGACACAAAGCTGGGCGGTATTGCCAATACAGAGAAGGACCAGGATATCATACAGGAAGATCTGGATGATCTTGTAAACTGTAGTAATAATAATAGGATGAAATTTAATAGTGAAAAGTGCAAGGTCATGCATTTAGGGATTAACAACAAGAATTTTTGTTATAAGCTGGGGACACATCAGTTGGAAGTAACAGAGGAGGAGAAGGACCTCAGAGTATTGGTTGATCACAGGATGACTAAGAGCCGTCAATGTGATATGGCCATGAAAAAAAGCTAATGCGGTCTTGGGATGCATCAGGCGAGGTATTTCCAGCAGAGATAAGGAGGTGTTAGTACCGTTATACAAGGCACTGGTGAGACCTCATCTGGAATACTGTGTGCAATTCTGATCTCCCATGTTTAAGGAGGATGAATTCAAACTAGAACAGGTACAGAGAAGGGCTACTAGGATGATCCAAGGAATGGAAAACCTGTCTTATGAAAGGAGACTCAAAGAGCTTGGCTTGTTTAGCCTAACCAAAAGAAAGCTATGGGGAGATATGATTGCTCTCTATAAATATATCAGAGGGATAAATACTAGGGAGGGAAAGGAATTATTTAAGATCAGTACCAATGTGGACACAAGAACAAATGGATATAAACTGGCCATCAGGAAGTTTAGACTTGAAATTAGATGAAGGTTTCTAACCATCAGAGGAGTGAAGTTCTGGAACAGCCTTCGAAGGGGAGCAGTGGGGGCAAAAGACATATCTGGCTTCAAGACTACGCTTAATAAGTTTATGGAGAGGATGGTATAACGGGATAGCCTAATTTTGGCAATTAATTGATCTTTGACTATTAGCGGTAAATATGCCCAATGGCCTGTGATGGGATGTTAGATGGGGTGGGATCTGAGTTACTACAGAGGATTCTTTCCTGGGTGTCTGGCTGGTGAATCTTGTCAACATGCTCAGAGTTTAGCTGATCGCCAAATTTGGGGTCGGGAAGGAATTTTCCTCCAGGGCAAATTCGACAGAGACCCTGGGGGGTTTTCGCCTTCCTCTGCAGCGTGGGGCACGAGTCACTTGCTGGAGAATTCTCTGGAGGATTCTCTGCACCTTGAAGTCTTTAAACCATGATTTCAGGACTTCAATAGCTCAGACATAGGTTAGGGGTTTATTACAGGAGTGGGTGGGTGAGATTCTGTGCCATGCATTGTGCAGGAGGTCAGACTAGACAATCATAATGGTTCCTTCTGACCTTAAAGTCTATTACTCTACTGTGAATAGCATATGGCACTAACTCTGGGGTGGGCAAACTACGGCCCATGGGCCAGATCCGGCCCTCGGGATTGCCCCCCATGGTGCCGTGGGCCTCAAACCCCTCTCAGAAGCGGCCAGCACCACGTGCCTGTGGCCCCCGGGTGGGGGGGGGGGCAGAGGGCTCCGTGCGTTGTTCTTGCCTCCAGGCACTGCCCCCCGCAGCTCCCATTGGCCAGGAAAGGGGAACCACAGCCAATGGGAGCTTCAGGGGAGGTACCTGGAGGCGCGGCAAGGGCAGAGCACGCGGAACCCTCCAGCCCCCCTCCCGCAGGGGCCGCAGCGCTTCCTGGAGCAGTGCGGAGCCGGAGACTGGGCAGGCATGCAGGGAGCCTGCCCTGGCCCCGATGCATGGAGCTGCCACCCCAGAGCTGCTTTAGGTAAGCGGTACTGGGCCGGAGCCCGAACCCTCCTGCACTCCACCCCCCAACAACCTTGCACCCCTTCTGCACCCCAGCTCCCTGCCCTGAGTCCCCTCGTGCACCACGCACCCCTCCTGCACCACAACCCCCTGCCCTGAGCCCCCTCCTGCAGTCCGCACCCCTCCTGCACCCCTGCCCTGAGCCCCCCCTGCACTCCACACCCCTCCTGCACCCCAACCCCCTTCCCTGAGCCCCTTCATACACCCGCACCCCTCCTCTGCCCCAATCCCTTGTCCTGAGCCCCTTCCTGCACACCGCATCCCCTCCCACACCCCAACCCCCTACCCCAGCCCTGCATACAATTTCCCCACCAAGATGTGGCCCTTGGCCCACAAAGTTTGCCCACCCCTGCTCTAACTGCTAATGTTCCTACTCTACCCAGATCATTCTGAAATATTCTGCCACTTATGTTTGTATTGAGCCCACCCTTCCAATTTTCTTTTATCATTAAATTACTATAAGTGTAGGATTTTCAAAGACACCTATGCATCTTTCATGGGGCTTGTGCTCCTAAGTCATTGAGGTGCTTTTGAAAATTCCAATTAACGCTTCTTCCATTTGTTTTGCCTTTCCAAAGTTTGCTGTGTTAAAATTCAATATCCTTGTCATCTCATCTTTGGTTTCACTTTGTACTAATAAACAGAGATAGATTAAAATCACTCTGGCTAGGATGCAGCCAAAAATCCACATACTGTATTCAGTCCTTCCCATGTACATAAAATAATAGCAGCAGAGCTCTGCTCGGAACAGCCAAAGAGAGAAGAGGGGCAGAGTGTATACTGACAAATGTGTTTTTATTTAAGCCCCTCTGCACTCAGGGACACTGGGGCTGATTTGTCCACGAGTGTAACTTAGAGCAGTTCAATTATGGTTTCCAGGAATAGATAGAGCACAGCAATATTCTGGCCCTACTTGTGATATACTTCTTACACCAAGAGGGTCCCCAAGTAGCCGGATCTGCTAGATTTCTATCTGGTTTGCATTACTGAAGTGGTACAAAGCAGACAAGGAGCTATGGGGCTGCTGGAGGATGAGACTCTGGGAGTTGGCCACTTTCACAATGTACAAGAAGAAATTGCGTATGAATGGGGAAGTGGTTGTATGAATGGGGAAGTGGTTGTGTTCCAGTCTCATAAAGTACTGTTTCCAGTGGTAAGTCTGCTCTTTCTACAAACCTCTTTGATTTTTCTATTACATAGCTACCCTGGTACCACAAATATAGGTAGTTACTACAGTTTTATGCTGTCGCGACTCCATTGATCTCAGTGGAGACACAACAGCATAAAACTGGTGTAGGGCAATGGAGGCTCATAGGTCCTGAACTTGCAATACTTACAGACACAAAACTCCTTTATGGGTGTGTAAGAATTAGACTCCAAGACTTCCCATTAAGATAAAAAAAGCTTGTAACTTTCACAAAAAGAAACATTAGCAGAGCTAAAAATGTAATAAAAACTCCACACGCCTACACCTATCCAGCACTAGCTCATGGTTCAAACAAAACCACAGCTTTGGCCATTACTAGTCTCATGTTTTACAACTGGAATCTTACTAACCATATTGTGTAAAACAGACTTTTTTTAGTGTAACTGTCTTTGCAAAACACTGCTTTGGGAATTGTAACTTTCAAGAAACATAACTATGAAACATGTGTTTTTACCCCTGCCTCTATTGACCTGTGCATGAGACACGTCCTTAAGGCTTTTCTGACTGCAGGCAGCTCAGGATGTTATCACCTTACCTGGATTAGTGTATAGTTGACTTTCCACTGTTTTACCAATACACTGTAGTTTAACAGCTTGAAGGGATTCATCCACATGCATGATGGTTGGCAAGCTGCCTAGAGTATCATGCACCAAGTTTGCCACCTCTCGCACATCGAAGAGCTTCAGCAGCTCAGAGTATACAGCTGGGAAGGAGCAGAGAAACACAGCCTAAAGAAGAAGGTTAAAAAATACCAATTAAATACAGTGAAACACACTTGAAATTTTCAGCGTTTACAGAGTGACCAGTGACAAGAGCATCACACACTTTTAGCAGCCATGGAAACCTATTTTCATGTTTCAATTTCAAGTTGTAAAATGTGATTCAGATTTGAAACATTCAAATCAATTAGTTAGAATTTAAGAAGAAATATCCTCATGTTACTCAGATTTAAAGCTATATATTTATTTTCTTTTAAAACACGTTTCAGCCTATTATTTATGGTTCTTTGTTTTTCTCTCTCATGAACATCCCAACTTTTATCAAATAAAACAACTGAACTTTGACTACAGATAAGTTATCACTTACAGGCTTCACAAGAGCCACAAGTAAGAGGAGATTATTCACTCACAAGGACAACAGAAACTGGCAGATGCCACGAATAGGTGACATTGAGGTTCCTCTAGGTAAGGAATATAACCGTGTCTCTCTCATTTTTTCCAGTATTTAAAGAGGTTATTTTGGATGAAAACTGCACTGGAACTATCAGTTAACTTTAGAAATCTAAAAATAGAGCTAGTAGTTCATTGGAGAAAGAAATGGATTTGGAAGATAAACAAGAAATACTGAAGAAAAAGGAAGTTATGATACATAAAGGTAGTTAGAACCTGGAATGTCTTTCCTTCTACCTTTCTGACTCTAGTTCATTGACATGAAAATCACTTATTCTACCCAACCCTCATCTCCTTTTAGTATTGGCCCCAGGGTGGATGATGTACACAGCTAGAGGGTTAAAGATACCACTTGGAATGTGGGAAAATCCCAGAGTTGCTCATTTATATGATTCTGCCCAAAATACTTCAGTTAAGCTGCTCATATGAGATCCGATGGAAGAATTTAGCTTAGGGTAGGTCTACACTTACCCGGTAGTTCGGCGGCGAGCGATCGAACTTCTGGGTT